CGCTCATTGCGACGCTCACAAAAGTACCGGCAAATTTGCGGGGCCGTCGTGCCTTTACCCGCTTCGTTCTATTCCTCTCCGACAGGCGCGAGGAGTCGCGCGCATGCTGGCAGGCGCGACGCGTTTTGATATTCGATACGCGCGACGGCCGGGATCGCATATTTCGCCGGACGCGGAATAAGTCGAGCCGCGCAAGAACCAGACGAGGTGGATGCAAAAGGCGTGGTTGCGGATGCGAGGCGCACGGGCTCCATAGGCAACAGCCGCATTCCGTGGCATCTCGACGCGCGGCCGCGCCGTACGTTCCCTATTTTAAGACAAGCCCGAGGCTCGCGCCCTGCACCTCGTCACGCGCTTTGCCACGATCGCGCATCCCGCCCGATGAAATTCGCGGAAATTACCGCCGGGAAACTTCCCACCTTGCGTAACGAGCCGGCGCGGCGCACCGCGACGTCTCCTGTTCTTCTTTGTTTTCGTTTGCGGGGAAATTGCGAAGACGCCGCCGCACCCGCCGAATTTAACCTCTTAATATTATGCCGGGGCGGCTCGATAAACTCAAATATTTTCGGGATTCGGAATATGACAAAAATATCACCCCCAAAGAGACGCTGCGCGACACATGATGCCCAGGCGTCACGCGGGAAAAGCAGAGAGAGGCTCGTATCACGCGGGGGAGAGTCGACGCGCGGATACGTTGATATGGCAGGAATAAAAAATCCATACGAGATAATGCGTCGACATGTAATCAGATTTTTAACCACGGCGCAGAATGAATTATGCCATCGTCATATACGTAATCCGCTTCTTATCTCTTCCGCAAGCGCAGAATGTAGCTCGCGTGTAATCGGGATGACAATGCCATTAATTCTATTTATTCCGCGTTCGAAAAATTTAATAGAAAATGTCAAATTTATTGTTGCGCGCGGGTAATAACGTTCCTAAATATAAATTAAACACCTAATATAGAGCACGCACAATGGCTGTCTGCTAATTTTCTATGCTAGATAATTGAAACTGTAAATAAATGTTACAGATTTTCCTCTTCCCATGCCGCTTTTATAATTGTGTAATTTATTTTTTACATTATTTACAAAAAAACCTGAATGTTCTAGATAAAATGTTTGTACGGTTAAAAAGTAATTTTTCGAGAATTTAAATTAAATAATTTAGAGAGACAGAAACGAGAGTAGAGGAAAAGAGTTCGGATATGTTTATAGGAAAATACACGTATCTTAAAATTAATTTCTATAATTACATATTGGTCCCTGCATTGTCAAATGTTGCAAACTACAAGTGGAAATATCGAGTGAAGCTAAATGGAAAAATCCGGAGAAAAGGATGCAGAGAGCGGAATCAATTATAATTAAATTAATAACAGCTGCAGGTATCTCTCTCTTTCTCGAAAACGCATTCGCACACAAGCCGCTCCTAATTGGAGATGTAAAATACGCGTTCGTCGATTATTTGCGAGTCTATAAGCCGTAAACGATTCAATTGTTTCTACTACGATTCTCGCGAAATGAAATATTGGAATTTCTCCCCGAGATTCATTAACGCTTTATAAGTTGCGTGAGTTTTATTACGTATTCGTTAAACAGCGATCCAAATGCGCGTTCACGCATCCGTGGCTCCTACTTCGCTAAATCCACGTTGAATATCGAAAAGTCGCGTGCAGCGCGGTATAATTCGATTTTGACGTAATAAATTATTTCGCTTTACGGTTATCCCGGCTCGAGGAAATGCGATAACGATAAAACGGCTCGTGTCCCGCGCCGTTACTTACGCACACATTTGACTCCGATCTGACGTTTGCGCGAGACGCGCTCTTCTCGCTGGTTAAATAAAACTCGGGGAAACCAGACGGCCGTAGTGTAACGCAATGTTAATATCATTGCCAATGTCAACATATAGCTTGCGTAAGATCAAGCGTCTCGATAATCAATAAAGCGGCTTTAATAATAGAATCGATTTGACGTCGATGTCTGGTCAGCGGCGGATTTTACTACTGCGAAAGTCCAACTCTTTTATACCTGCCATTGTCCGTCGTACATAACTGTTTACGTTCGAAAATCCGTCGTTTCGAATCTAGGGGTCAATTCTGCATCTTACATTACAGTGAAAATGCTAAAAGTGAATAGTCTCTTTCTAATCGTCCCCTTAGAAAGAGACAAAGCCGCTCACCGTTAGCATTGTCACCATATCGTAAGATACAGAATTGACTCCCTGTTCTGCTTTGCCAAACTCGTATCGGTACAAAGTTTAACGTCTAAGTTTTTTGTTGAAAAAAATCCTAATCGTCCCCTTAGAAAGAGACAAAACCGTTCACTGTTAGCATTGTCGCCATATCGTAAGATACAGAATTGACCCCCTGCTCTGCTTTGCCTAACTTGTATCGGTACAAAGTCTAACGTCTAATACGCATTTTCTGTTAAGAAAAACTATATTCCTACGGTAAATGTCACATTTCTTTCAGCTGACTTGTTCAAAGAATTCTGATCCTAATATAGCATCCCTTTGCAAACTGTACAATACAAATACGGAGAAATTACAATATATTGCATTAATAAATTCGCGTTTTTCATTATAATAATTAATGTAATTCTTTTGCAAGTAGAAAGGTAATGATGGTTTACATTTCTAAAATACATTTATTGTGAAGCTCTTTGTGAATACCTTCGTTATGATTATTCAATTTTCTCGCGCGCGTTCTCGTTTTTCTCAAAATAAATTAACTTCTCATCAATGTCGCAATTTGTTAACGATGAATATCTGCCGGTGTCGTTCCGCATTATAGATGCGATTTAATGGACCGCCTGTTTTAGACGGCACGAACTCGATACGTCAGCCTTATCTGGGATTTATTAGTCGCGGTACCGTCAGCAAGTAGCGGCGCTCTCGCGAGGGCAACAGACGTCGCCCTTCTCCGAAGATTCATCAGTCCGCGCTCGTATCACCGTAGATCAATCAACTTTTACGATCCATCCGTCTCTCGGCTCTTATTTGCGATGCGCACGCGGGCCCTCGATCATGCCGATCTCGCAATATCGAGCGTAATGTACCCCGCGCGCGCGAGGAAATATCGTCGAGTGTGAGGGAAGATCCCGGACACGGAAATTTTAACCATTAATCCAAATCGCGCCACTTCCATTTAAACTGGCGAAATTAAAAAAGCTCTCACATACCTCTCGCAGTATAAAATTCGCGTGCTAAAATATCTCCGTGATTAATACCGCAATCTATATTTTATTAAACGTATTTCACATTGTATGCAGCTCTTATTTTAAGATATTACGACGCGTAAGTCTAAATCCGTTTTTAATTAAAAAATTTTTAATTAAAAAAAGGTATATAATATAGAATAAAGAAAATATCCGTGGACTCCAGGAGATTCAGGGACGCGCCCCCGCATGGCTGTTTTGCGTGACGAGACTTCGCGTAGCGCCGAGAGATTGATTGTTTATCTTCGCCGTCGCTTCAAAGGGGAACTGATCGATTCGTTATTCCGCGATCTGCACCCTGATATTTCGGTGCACGGTTAATCAATATCCTGGCAAATTGTTTATTCCTAATTTTCCAATAATTGTCCCTCGTAAATTTTCCATACTTTCTACATCGCGTAATAATTAATTTCCACGCCGCATCCTTTGATCTCCGACGTTCAACGTGGGAAATTAAGCCATCAATGGATGCTTTATTGACTAGGAACTTCAATAGGGGGATATTTCAATAGCAATTGCGATATGGCTTTATCATTATTATGGCTTGTTTATCCCCTATCTCTCGCTTTATAATAAATGAATCGCAACGATTGCACCATGCAAATGTAAATAAATATTAACGTATTGCACATTACCTAGGAACGCTCTAAATGAGAAATTAATAATTAATAATCAATTATTAATTTCATTATCGCAATGCCTCTTTTGAAATTTGTCGGCTAACCGAAAAATTAAATAACGAATAATCAGTAAATAATCATCGATATTGCATCAGCTCGGCGTTGGAAAATGTTCAAATCGATTTATGTCCTCGCCACGCTATTACGCGGAACGTTCTGTATCCGGCTATTCGACATTGAGAGGAGAGATCTATTACAAAATCGGCTGAAGAGGCTGCTCGTGAAAGTAAAGGGGCAGTGGCGCGAGTGGCGGGACACCCCTGTATGCGTGCAACGGCAACATCTCCAGCGTACTCGTTGAATAACTTTTCCCACGGCTTAATCAATCAATCTTCGAGGCCGGATCGCGTTTTTGTTATCTGCATGCGCGATCGACGATCGATGCACGCGCCGTGCATCGACGCTTAATCACAATGACACGGGGAACGCGGGGACTCTCGCATTACTCCCGGAGTGGCGAACGGCGGGTCGATCGGGCCGCTATTGGACGACAATGTAACTGGAAACAGCGGCATATTGCTGCTTAATAGATAGGATTATCGCAGCCGCTTAATCATCAGCCGCGGCACTACAGTCGCTGATGGCCTGTCCAACACAACGGCCTGTTGGCATTTCGATCGAACATGCCGCGGAAGCACCTCATTGGCGGTCCTGCCCACGTAATATCGGCATTAAGGCACGGGGGGATCCCATGCTGGTCCAGCGTGGATAAAAGTAACCGGAAATTTTTCCGCTATCAACGATAACTGCGTCCTCGACGGTCCGCGCGCGGCCTCGTGCAATTTTGTCCCCTCGCGGAGATACGGATTTTTACTTGTCGGGACTTTCTTGTCGAACGTGTCGCGCTTGATTATTACTTTTATATGCAATGAGATTTATTAGAACACTCTTAAATAATTTGATTTCCTCTTTAATAAATCCTTTTGAGATTTATTTCATTGTACGGTGTATTTACTGTGAAAAAAAATTCTTAAAGATAAGCATAGATTTTGGGCCGTTAAAGTGGAATGACCCCTGAAAGAATCTGTTTGCTAAAGAAGAATTAACGGCGTGTCGCGCGCTGTTTCACAGCGATTAGCTAATACGATCTTAATTAACTCACCAGATATTGAGGAACTTCTCCCGAACTTTCCGCTTCATGCTATCGCTCTTCCGACGATACTGCAATCTGCGGCAGGAATCCGTATAGATGGGCTCCGCAAGCTTGTAGAAACCTGCGGAAGATGGAGATGTCCAGATTAAGCTTCCGGAAACTTGCGAGTTTTTGCGGCGAGAGGTGCGCGATGTAACGCACACACAAAGGGCCCCGGAGGTACATCGAAGATGGAACGCGGGACGTCGGAGCAATTTTTCGCAAGCCCCGCGTCATTTCGCGTCGTAACGAGATTTTATAAGGAGAGTTTCATATGCTGAGAGTTGCCGTCCCAGTTTCACCGGCTTTCCCTTTATCGACAAATTCTTAGAAATTTTCTATCCTTTCTTAGCGGAAATTTTCCAGGGGATCAAATTACATGTACAAAAGTGCAGATTGCCAAGTTTTCTGAATTAAGTCCCGGCGATATGCAAATAGTCTCGATTCACCTCCAATCAAGACGGCAGGGGAAGAAAGAGAAGGTGACTTTAAGTAATTAACGTAACGGCGGGGCGCCTTGGAACTTTTGCTCGTGCGAACCAGCAATCTCGGTGCGAGCTCGACTAGAAATTGAGGGATAGGAATAGCTGGGACGGTTCCTCGCCGTGTCCCCGCAAATATTTATTCAGCGGCCGCGATTCGAGCATGCCCGCTGTTTATCCGCCCGTATATCCGTCGCCAGCCTCAGACCGGACGGCGTCGTAAAATCTCTCGCGAAACTTTTATATCTGACCGAGATGACCGAGCCATCTCTCGACGTAAAGTTCGATCGATCCATATCCAATGTCAGCATAGGAAATAAAATCTCAAAGGGGCAAACTGTTATCGCGACAATTGCGTTCAACGAGATTGAGTTGGGCGCACGCATATACACACGCGCGCACGCGTCTCGAGATTAATCCCCAATTCCTACGATAAACCGGAGACACTTGATCAAAATGTCGAGAGGAAACGTAACGCGTTTTAGATTATCATCTCTTCGTTATTTCTTCGTCGTGCATGATCCTCCCCTCGCTATTTTTATTTATTATCATTTGCGCATTCTCTGGGGGAAAAAAAAGACAGTTAAACAACCCATTTTGGGGCCCACAATTAGTAATTGAATTATTTGGATTGTTCATAATTCTACTCGGCGGAAAATTTTGACCGATTTTCTTTGTAGTTAAGCAACTTAACATTTCGGTTAGTGCCTCTTAAGTGAAAATGATCTTTGCGTTACTGAATATCGACGGAACTAATTGAGAGAATTGATTAGTATTACTTTGAAATCTTGGATACAGATAGAATAGCTAATTGCGATTTTTAGTAAAATTCGTAAAAGATTAGAGTGTTACGAACAATTAATATAATTCGATTACTAATTGTGGGCCCCGAAATGGGTCGCTAACTGTCTCTTTTTCCCAGAGTTGCGATGAGGACTGCACAAGTCTCTTTCGACTTTGTCGCACAATAAAATCGTCCAATGTAATTGCTTTAACGAGTGCAATTATCGTAGCTATTATTTAATTCTACCGTGTACAGGATTAGTCGGCAGCTGTTTGCGTAGCTGGAATAACGATAACTTTTTCAATCCGCTGAGAGGATTGCCGCGTTGCGTGACAATCCAATTTCCAAACGTTCCCGAGCTGTCGAGGACTGTCGAGGGCCAAGGATTTGTGAGCAATGTAGACTGCACGCGTGCATTAAACGAAAATACTAGCATACTTTCAGCTTTGGTTTTGCGTTTCCGATAAAATTGTTATCGAACATTTGCCATCGTGCGTTATATAAGTCAACCCTTGGAGAAATATACAGCATGGAAACAATTTACAATCAATTAACGGATCCATTGCTCATTTCCGTCTCTCTAAACTTCTACGTCATTAAAATTCTATTACTGCCACTTTTAACCAGAGATGTCGCGGAACAGGGAAATGTCGACTCGCATCCAATGAATTGAACTCGAGACCAGAAAGGAACAAGCGGATTGAAAAGGAAGAGAAGCGCCCGTGGCGCTTTGCACCGTCAACGTCCATATTTATCTTCAATTTCATTTTCCTCTCACTGTACGAAGCAACAGCATAAAAATTCCTCGTGTCCTGCATAAATTTCCGCACAGCGTGGAAACAATCGCGTTTTCCGTATCGGTACACCGGTGCATCGACGTCCGTCCGCGAATTTAACGCAAAGGAGTAATGCCACGACAATAAATTAATTTCAGCAGTCGCGTGCACCTCGATGCATTACGATAATGGATCCACGGGCCCATTAACATATGCGATCATTCGGCGAATAATGACGGCCGCCCGTGCGCCCGGGGCATTTCATTCCGCTAATGTTCGCTATTTAATGTCAAAAGTAAGATATTATCCCGAATTTCTCCGTTCCGCTGGATTATCCCATTCACCCCTGCCGCTCACGGCCGTCCGCCGCAAAATCCGATTACGAAGTTCAATTACGAAGCTTACTCGGGGGGCAGTTTTGTACATGTTACTTACTTAAGTAACTTAAGAGCTGATCGGCAAAATTAGGATCGGCGATCGTTAATCGAATTATAAATCGTATCGTCGCGTTATTAGAGAAGTGGCAGAGGGGAAATACGGTAAAAATATCTCAGCTTGGCGCGATATTTGCACAGTGTGTCCCTGAGACAGATCGGCGGGCACCGAGGCACAACAGGGACAGCTCCAGATGCGGGAACGACGTACGTGGTTACTTACTAAGCCAGCTCAGCTGATCGTTGTTCTCCAATTTGTTCTTGAAACTGTCCACTTGGCGTTTGAGCTCTCGTAGGGCGAGGGAGGGTGTGGCGTATAAAGCTTCCTGATGCTCTCGCAGCTGCCGCTCTAAAGCCGCCACGCGCCTCTCTAAAGCCCAAAGCACCTCCGCCTCGATCACCCCCGAAGAAGCGGGGTGAGCGCCAACGATCTTGAAAAAGCACAACCGACTGAGTACGTAAAGTGCACGCTACGGTACCGAAAAAGGGAATTAACACGTCGACTAAAAAAATATCTCGCGCTTTGTCCTTTGATCAGACTATGTCAATTATTTCTGCGTTTTCTTCGCCAATAATTTGTATACGCACGATCCTTGTCCACAATTTCATTGAGATATTAGAAAACTAAATAACGATACGCTACATAATACAATATTATAGTACAATTAAGCGTTCAATTAATTAGATGGTTAGTTTCATGTTCACGCATTTATCTTTTTCACGTTCCAACGACATCTCAATTGTTCCCTCGCGCGTTGAGAGTGCAAGGAAGAAGCAATAACGGTAAACTTTAAACGAGGATACAAGTCTTTACGCGTCTAACGTGATCAGAAGATGCCTCGTGCATCTCGTTGTCTAATAAATTTTGCATTCATATCTCACGAGCATAGATCGATGTCCTCATAAATATGCAGAGGTATACAAATGAAACAGATACTTATGGAAGATAATCCAAACTTTAAACTCTCCCCAAAGTCGCGATAAATTCATAATAAACTTTAGCACCAGCGTGGATGCACGTCACGAGCGATGAGGCTAATAATGATAATATTACAGCGATTGTTCAACGAGTAGATTGAACGCTCATTACCCGGGGCAAGACATTACCCGCTTTAAACATGTGATTCTTACCGCGAACAACGCGAGACCTGATCAAAGAACACAATTTTTCATGCAACGAACTTGTGCGAATGGATAACAAGAGGCCCTTTCGTCCCTCCCGCGGGGTAACTTCCGCAGAGAAGGCGACTAGGCAAAACTTATTACGCTAGGTAATTAATTATGTAGACTAATGAAAATTTAAATAGAGTACCTGAAGAGCATAAGGCGTGTCGGGCGTGTTCGCGGGTAGATGAGTCGAAATATTGAGGAGCTTGTCCCCCTTGCGAAGCTTTACGATGTCCAGAGGACCAGCCTCTGCCGCGCTTCTAAAGAGTTCTGCAAGACAAAACGTAGATTCTCTCTCGTTGAGCTGATCTCCATCTTCCTTCCTTCCGTCCGAAGGAAGTTCGCTTTGCGCGAGAGTTCTCCTCGAGCTCATTCGTGTCGCTTCCGTTTCGCGACGCGGCGAGATACGAGATCGCCGACCCTCTCGAATCGGGACCAAACGACGCACACTGCTATTCAGTAATGCCTGGACCTGCACTTTTATCATCATTTTTCCCATCTGTACAACTCCACCGACTTTCGGGCTGTATGTATGCGCAGTGATGGACAGAATGGTTGCAACATTTCTTTTTAATGAGTTTAGGAACGCGCATTTAGATTCAGGTTTTCGTTCCAAAACATTTTCTCTGAGGAACATTTTACTCGAGCAATAGATTGGAACCGTTCAAAAATGGTTCCGGGATGGCCATTTTGTAGTAAATGTAATAAGAGTAAATTAGTCCTCGGAAAAGAAGATTTGGGAACGTAACCCTGAATCCAACTGCACATTCCTAAACTCATTAAAAAGAAGAAGTGTTGCATCCATTCCATCGCTGTACTACCACAGACTTCTACAGAAGCTGCGTGTACTAGGGTAAGGTGACCGAATGCGGAGCAACAATTTGATGAGTTGCTAATTTTGCTCTTTTATATATTTACAACTTTATGCTACACTGTCGACATCGACGCGTTTTCACGTCGCTTGTTAGCGACTCATCAAATTGCTGATCCAAATTTGTCGGTCACTAGCCTATACAGCCTGAAATTCTCATCGATGTATAGATGGGAATAAAGATTATGAAAATGTGAACCCTAGTAAAACTGAGGCCCAGGTATTAATGAATAACACTGTGCAAACGATATTTACGATACCCCGGTTTCGATCCGCGCTATTAACTGTCCGCCGCGCTCACCGCCGTTTACTATATTACCGCGGGGGTGATATTAACTTTATTAAACGCGCCCCCGCTGGTGCGCGGGAGATCGACGACCGTTTCCCAATTAACCCCCGGTCGCTTCCCGACCGGTAAAAAAAAACGGCGACGCGTACAAATCACAGACTTCTACATACTACTAGGCTGCTACCTTCCAGCTGAAAAGTGAGGCAAAGTCCTGTCATGTCTTGTCAGGTATAAATAAAGTAGTACGTGCATCGGACACACTGTAGACACACTGATACACACATACTACTTTATTTGCCTAACAAGACACGGCGGAAGTCTCGCCTCACTTTTCAGCTGGAAAGTAACAGCCTAGTAGTAGAGGAAAGTCCCCTATTATGGGATAGGATTCTAATGTGAGATCGTGGGTTTTTAACGTCCACATTCAATCACAAATCTGTTTTCGAAACTCTCTAAAAGTCAATCAGTGGATTATCACTAGAAACAGTGAATATTCATTGATTCGCAGTTATAAATTATTCAGTGCTATCCCGAGTCGAAATTTTGGCCCTATGTTGAACCTTTAATTCTATTATATAGTAGGACCTAAGACAGTAAAGGAGGTCGAACTGCAAGTACAAAATTTACTCCTACTTTAAAACCGATAGTGTCGGAAATTTCTACTTTTGCCAATTTAGTATTAAAGTAGGTCCCTTTAAGTAGGAGCTTAAGTAAATTTCTAGAATTAAAGATTCAAGGGAGGAGTAAAAAAATATAATGTCATCAAAGTAGGTTATTGCTGGTCTATGTAGGTGTATAGATCAGCTAAGAAGGTGTAAAAATTATCCTTAAAAGTGTCAAAATAGTACCAAAATTTTCATTCGGGATACTTAAAACTGTTTTCAGCGATAATGCACTGATCGACTTTCAGAGAGAACGATTACACGATCCAATAATCAATTTTCTACTAAATAAATTTCACTTGAAGGGCAATAAATTCATGGTGGGACCAACAGATGATGCCTATTAATTTAACAGAAACTCCGCTATTTCGTATTAGGAGCCTGTCTCGTAATAGAGGACTTTCCTCTATAGAGAAGTCTGTGGTACAAATGGCCCCGTGGTGCTCGCGACGCCGTTCGTGCACGGAATCCCCCGTCCGTCGCGGGCTCTTTCCGGTATATCGAGCGAGAAACACTCGCGAGGGCAGGAGCAACGGCGCGCGCGGCGTTTTGTAAGTTGAATGTTTTATTCATAATCGAAGCGCCGCCGCTACCCACGGGGTGTAACGACCGTGTGTATGCCACTGTGCCCCGGTAATTACGATCGACGTCATTGCGCCGGAATGACGGCCGTAAATATGTACCTTCCACTCTCGCTTTTTCTCTCCGCCCGCTCCACCAGTGGAAAGTTTCGGGATCAAGCAAAGCAAACCACTCAAATAGAAGTGGACTCTGGCCGTTGACCGCCGCCGCAATCACGACGCGCTTTATTTCTAAACTAAAGCGAAATTCACGAAACGTACGGAAAAGCATAGGGCACGATACACAAATTCTGAACATAACTCTTAATTAATTCCCGGAATGCGGCGCGGTCTGATATTTAATTCAATATCTAATCATCCTCGTGAATGTCCTGTCGAAGATTTAAAACACTGGCGGAAACGCGAATCTTATCGAGAGACGCGACGCATCGATCCGCCGGAAGAGCGCGAGTCTCTCGGAAAATCCCGTATGCGTCCGTGAGCGAGCGTGCACCGCTGCGAGAAATAATACCGAAAAACTGTACAAAAATCCGCTGAATAAATGATACAATCCGTGCCGCTTTTTCGGCTGTCTTATTTTAGCGCGAATACGTGCAGTAGTTTGAAATATTGAAAAGCTCAACACGTATGTAAAGCGTATTCGGCTTTAGACTCAACAGCGCAACGTCCGGCAAGCCAGCTTCCGCAGTAGCTAATGAATGAATTCATTTCATACCCGCGATAAAATAGACGAGTTAACTGCCTGGTCCAATTATTCCGCGAATGCCGCGGTGCAATGCCGATATTACAATACATATATCACATTGCGAAACGAATCGCGCGGTACTTTTATGAAAGCGGATAATCCGTTCAAATTAGGAGAGCAGATCGGCGGCGCATCTTAAGGGGATGCTGGAGTGATTCTGCTCTTTTTGCACCTTTTGCTCCTACCAATTCATGAAAACATTTGCGTAATATACGAATTATGTGGCTTTTGTGCACAGGCCGACAGTGTTCCACTGATCGAACTGAATCAGAGAACAGTACCAAGTAACTTGAATAAGTTACAGGTTACAGGTTAAACCTTAATTTCAACGATACCATGCTCTTCTCTGATTTATTCCGATTCCGATCAGTGGAACACTATCGGTCTGTACACAAAAGCCACACAATTTGTACATTACACAAATGTTTTCACGAATTGACAGTTCTAGATGCGAAAAGTGCAAAAGGCGCGGAATCACTCCAGCATCCCCTTAACGTGTCTAATGGAGGGGAAGGGAGAGACGAACGCGTTTCCGCGATCTCTATGTAAAATACAGGTCCCGTCCCGTTCTCGGAGTGAAAAATGGAAGCGCAGCGAAACCTGGCGCGATCATTTATAAAGAGTCCGGGTCGCCCTTTTCAGTTCACCCCCTGACTGACGTGCACGCCTCGGGATGAAATAAAAATATTCCGAGCGCGCGCGCACGCGCGCGCGTTCTCCCCGTTGCGCTTGTCTCGGGCAAGGAGACGGAGAGAGCGCGCGGGATCCGCGTAACGAAACACGAGAAATCATAGTGTTTCACGATTTATCTGGACCGAGGTTGAAACGGAACACCCATGGAACGCTGTCGCGTATTCGTTCCGTTTTATGCGCGGCCTTTACCCGAAGGGGCGCGCGATCATTTTCGCCGGACTTCCGCCGCCCGAAACCCGGGAAAAGAGGTTCGCGGCGAAAGGCAAGAGCTATCACCGCCCTCGAATTTCAATTTCTGTTTTCATACCGCGCAAAGTGCAATCAAAATCCATCCCGCGCGCGCGCGCGCGCACCTCGCGAACTGGAGTACACGCATTCAGCGCTACGAATAATATGAGTTAATTTTATTTTATTCGCGTACGA